GAGAAAACAGCTTTTTTGAAGCGGCTCGAAACGAGGGTGAGAGGAGACGAGCTCGAAACCTTTGCCGCTCCTCCGCGTAGCCTTCGCAAGCCAAACCTCTTCCCCACACTCTCCGGCATCCGACCAAGAGGTGACGTTTGCATGACGTGCCCGAACAAGCCCAGCCCCCGTGCACGCGAGCGGCGTTGCTTTGTTGACTAGCATTATTTTGTGGTCTTCTGCCTGTTTCTGCGGGATTGTTTGGAAACGCTGGCTTAGATGTGGTAGAGTAGATGAGCACAATGAGTGCGCGAATGCGTAGGAGTGTTTCAAGGTGGTCGTCTGCTCAATGCGCTGACCGCGGGAACCGGAACGCATGTGAAACGCTGGCACATTAGCCCCGCATCTCGTAGCATTTCACGAAAAAAAATGTAAGAAAAACGTGCAAAATTTTTTATTGTGTCTCATTATTTATTTCAAGTTTTATTCATCCCTTAAAGCAACAAATACATAAACTACGCATGTTGTGTTAAATAATTTTTGCCATGTCACGTGGTATACTGTTGACAACGTCAGAGCACAGTCGTCTACGTAGAGGACCAACGTGACCGCAGTGCTGTGTACGTAGGGCCATTCCTACGCCTACCTCATGCCCTCATTCTCTACGCGTGCGCTGTTAGAAGGGAGGGGGAGCAGCTTTTATCTTGAAATTTGACCCATTGCCGCGGCGCGTAGCGTTGCAAATTTTGGCAGACGTCATCATGAACGCCTCGTCTACGCATTGCGCTTGTCAGCTCAAAATTGTCAAACCTGGTGAGTGGCCCTTTAGGCGTGCACTCTTAAAAAATAGTAGAAATCTTGTAATCACATGCAAAGAGTTAGTAATAGGAGCTGTTACTTTCTTGGGTGCTTACTAACTTTTGTAACCTCTTTAATACGCAAGGTTGCTGACACTTCAAGGTTGCAACAGTTCTTTAGCACACTACTTCAGGCTTCAAATATTTTTGAGACCTCGTACTGTCGGAATAGTCAAATTTATACTGCACATTTGAAAGGAGACACGCTATACTCAGCTTCGCCAATGGCAAAGGTTCAACACAAAAGATTTTTTCAGAGGTGAAGCTCCTTACACCGTGGGTCGTATGTCCCGTGTTGTCGTAAAAACGAGTTGCACTGCATTGCATGTCAATAAAAATGGTGTCACAGCATATACCTAGAGCGAATGATGACGAGTGGGGCGAAGCGTTCGTCAGTCCGTCCATGTATCCGCTTTCGCCCCACTCGTTATCATTCACCTCGTAGATATGCTGTGATTTTTTTTTTTTCAGTGGGGGGGGGCATAAAACAGCTTTTGAAAAGCATGAAAAGTGTCGTGGTGAAGGAGGTTTAGATTGCTTTCCTCTCCCTCCTGTATTTACGACCTCCTGGATCGGTGCACTTTTGGCTGGGTATTTTAGCTCCTAATAGTTATGATTGATAGAATCACCAAAGTCAAGTTCTCTCTCATTAATGCATTACCAACTGTATAGACCTAGCCTTCTGATCTTCACAAGAGTACAAGAGCAATTCTGATCTTCACAAGAGTACAAGAGTCACAAGAGTCACAAGAGCACAAGAGTACAAGAGTACAAGCGTAATTTGAAGCACATCTAACTTCATGTAATGTGTGTAATATTGCTGAGACAATAAGGCCTCACTATGCTGATCAGGTATTTTTTACTCATAGTCTTCATAACTACTGTAATCATTTAAATTTAACTCCAAAAAAATAAATAACTTTTGATATTTCACAAGGGTTTATTGAGCTAAAGTTCTGTACTTTGGTGTGTGATCGCTCAAGGGTTATGACAGCATGTGCTAGACGTCAATGATAGGCAGGCACAAGAAAAATGGATTCAAAATAGCCTGCTGGGGAGTCGAAACACATAGCAGTTCTTGGGCGTGGAGCGCTGTGCTTTCAGTACTAATCGACTGCAGCGCCACCTCTACGGGCAACACTAAAACCCCTCCATTGCGTCTGCTGCCGCTTTTTTAGCGCCAATCGTTGTTCCACCCCTGCTGCCTAGTTCCGGTTTTGGAGCTTCCTAAAGGCAGTTATTGCGCCACTTACTTCCGCTTTTTTTTTTTTTCATCTTGTTTCTGAACATGTGAGACAGTGAATATTTTCTTTTATGATCAACAAGTGTTGTCTTGAGTTTCATCCTAAGCTTGTGACCAATGCCACCTCGCTGCTGCGCACGAGGCTGCCCGATCGGGTTGACGGCCGAGCGGTGGGACAACATGAATGAGGCGGGGTGGGTGGGTCAAGTAGTGAGAGCTTATCTTCCTCCCCGCTTGGTGGGACTGTTCGTGAGGTGGGTCATGAACCGGAAAAGCAGCAGAAACATCATGGCGGCAACTACTGGTTGTAGGAGAGGGGAAAAACGAGTTGGCGCTACTTCACCTAGCCGATGAAAAATGCATGTAGGGGCTTTACGCAACGCGGAAGACATCAGGCCGCATGGCGCGGTCACACCACTAAACAGCTTTAGTGTACTCCACCCCCAGTGAGAATGCAGAGTCCATCACACTACGTCTCTCTAGCCACCACAGCGTCAGCATGAGCCCGGGGACGCTCCCTGGATTTCGTGGCGACCGGTTGTGCGCCCGCGCGCTCCGCGCGCTCGCGACCTTCGGCGTTATCGTAGCTCTGGCCGACTGGGCTGGCCCTACGTCACCTCCTGTCGCCGGCTGTCTTCGGTGACAGCGCAGCTCTGACCTACTGGACCTGCTCTACGCCATCTACAGACGCCGACAACATCTCTCGCAAGTGTACCCCGTCCTCGGACTCCAGTGACCGTTCTTCGATCTTTCCTGTCTCTCCTATCCCCTCAGTTTGTTGTTGCTTCTTCTTCCTCTTTCCTATACCTTTACTTCTACCCTTTTATCCCTCCTTACCCCCATCCCTTTGTGAGCTCTGTGGCGGTGTCGCTCACTGAAGCAGGCAATAACGGGGCTCACTTTTCTCTTCCTTTCTCTTAAGAACCACTCCGCATGAGCCCGGAAGCGGTTTGATGGATAGAGAACCAATCAGCGCGCGGTTGGCAGTGACTTCCGCTATGTACAGCACTTTCGGTGCTTCCAGCTTCCACCCGCCTTGAATATATTAGGTTGTCGCCATGCTAGGTGTGACCCACAAATCTTGTGATTAGACTTAGCCAGTTCCTCGGAAGCTTCCCCAGCAAATACGCTCCGGATTTCTTCTCGCCTTTTCCGACCGCCATCCTCAAATTTGTCCGTAGAATTAGCAGGTTTGAGTACATTGGCCGAATATGTGACCTCAAAAATGTGTGTCAAGCTACGGGCTTGTGGTTCTTCTTATTCTCAATAACAGGCACTACAAGTAAAATAAAGAAAAGGCCTTTTGATGGCAGAGGGACTCATTCCCCTGAATATAGAACTGCAATTTGGCATAAAAGGTAAAATATGGATAAAACCTGTAATCAGGAATATTGTTTGTTCGCTAATCCATTCACAGACACCGCACACTGCTTGGCGACGTGTCAGATTCATTTCCTTTTGTCTCGTTGCGCTGGCCTGAGTGCTTTTCATGTGGTTGGCCGCCCTTTCTGGCAGCATTTATGTCACCACGCCGAGAGACACAACCCAAGAAAACACCAGCAAAACGCTGCAGGTAGTACAGCGCTAAAAAGGCCGTTAAACACTTTTTGATGAGGGTCGGAGAATGCTGCCAATCGGTAGTCGGGGCTGCCGAAAACATGCGAACCAATCATTATATCGCGGCATGCAGCCTGACATTTATAACGAAATGTCCGTCAGGTAAAAATTTATACCCATTTTCTCAACAAATCACGCTACAAAAATCACTGCGTCACAGGCCAAACATGGCTGATTTAAGCATGGCACGCTCAGCTGTTAGTGGGGCTGCCACAAGAGGTCGTAACTAGTTGACGACTGCGCGATATCACAGAAAATCCAGGCTCTTGCAGAAAAAAAAAGAAACGATGCTTAAGGTCCCGAGACGGGCAAGATGTATTTTCTTCCCCAAGTCACCCCACCCTGCTAAGCTTCCAGCGCTATTGTTGAGAAAAGAAAATGCAATTGCAGCATGTGACAAATTTTAGTAAGTCCGCTTGTACTAGATGAATTTTAAATATGTTTGAATTCGTGAAGCAGTAAGCTTTTTTAGTGAATCTATTCCATGGTTACTTTGAAGAGCGTTGCAGGACCTCTTTAAGCGCTCACCTGGGCACTACTGCGTCCTCTTTGGATGTCAGAACAAGCAGCGCAACAAGACAGCACTATTACTTTACACTGTCTGCGACGACCAAAACTTACATGTTGGTTTGGTGTTTTCAGCTTCACTGCCAGTGAATAATCGCACTTCACACAGAAAAACTAGAAGCCAAGTGAAAATGCGGGAGCACACCAGACGTGTGTACTCTAGTGTGGTTCAAACTAAAATTTGTTCTGCCAAAAAAAAAAAAAAGTTGTAACACGGAGGACAGGTAAAAGCTGTTCGGACAGCTTCAGTAGCTGTGATTCCCTAGTAGCACAGAAACGTACAGCTAAGTGAAACCTAATAAAATAAGAGTACACAGACCTTTGCCATTTCGCCTCCACCGAAATGCGACCGCCGCGATCGGGATCAATCCCGCGACCTTTGCTTCAACAGCCAGTATCTTAGCCACTGATCCACCGTGGCGGACATGTTTTGTTATGTTCTTTAGTTATGTAGATTATAGCTGCAAGCAGTTGAAATTTTAACATTCGATTTCGTAATATCTTCAGCATTTCGATATGTAAACACTACAGGATGATGAACATTGCAAGCAGGCAAACTTCCCTAACCTGGCTGTTCTTGGAATCGTATCATTACTCTGCAATAAAGCAAACTTACGTAAATGACCCATTTTATAATTGTGCATTGATGGTTATTGTGGCGCTTTGTAGGCAAGCAATATGTTCATTTGCACATAAAAGCATGAATGTCTAGCTGCAAGCAACAAATGCAACAGGTATTGCATTCATTTGTTCATTCAGTTTATTTAGGCAAAAAGAAAATTTGTGTAGGTTGAAGTAACTAAAGGCAGACTACCTCTGCCTGGCTAAAGTCTCTTCACTCATAGATTTGCTCAGACGTCATAGAACAAAGAAAATAGATTTCTTTTTTAGGAACACAAAAGCAAATTCAAAAGTTAATTTTAACATGAAACATGTTAAAATATCACATTAAGATCAGCACCAGTTAGCCCATGGCAAAAACAGAAAAAACATATGAAGAATACAGAAACCAGGAGAATATTAGGTCTGAAAACTAGGTTCAATACAGATACAGTATACACATTTGCAGTGATGGAAGCAACATTTTGATTTTAGGAGCAGATTCCACAGAAGAAAAAGTGGTGCTCTGGAACAACCATAAGTGTTTTTGGAGAAGAAAAACTATGCTAGTATGGAATAACTATTGATGTTTCCGGAGCAGATGGCAAAATATTCCAAACCGTCCCTAGAGTTTAAGCGTCATCTAAACTTCTAGTAAATATGAATACTTATCAAATATATTGCATGTGCATAAGAACTTGAAATAACACAAAACAAGTAATCAAGCAGATGGATGTTCACTGAACACTAAGTAGGATGAGTGATCTATATTTGAAATGCCAATACTTGTAATAGATATCATATAAAAGCAACAAAGCTGAGCATCAAATCACAAAAGCAGCCATTGCCACATTCAACTTGTTAAAGGAATAGTTTAAAATCGGTACATGTGCTCTATGTTATTTTCATATTTTACCAGAATTGTCGGCCTTAAATATTTTGGAAGTAAAATATACAATTGAAACGCCACTTCTGTTGACATAAATGAGCTCAAAGCTGATAAAGTGGTAAATGTAATCAGTCACCCATCAGTCATCATGATCAGCAGCAGTTAGTGTAGTTAGTACTCATTATGATGCTGAACTAATCTCGCACACATTCACAAAAATAGTCTGTCAGATAAATATATATCTATGTTAGTATATGCAAAATTCTCAATCTGCTAGTATAGAGCAAGTTGTTGTTTAGGCTCGCCGGATGGTCGCGCAATTAAAGTACACCGTTTTCAGTTTCCCAGATCTATCTTAAGGCAGTTCTGGAGTATTTATTGACAAAATTCACAATTTGGAGCACATTAAGCAGCATTTCTCTTTTTGGAGCAGTTTGGAGAAATTGTAGCAGCATTTCTATAACTTCATTTGAAAAAAAAAAAAAAAAACATTTTCTAAGCATCATTATCATCATTAGCCTAACTATGCCCACTGCAGTGCATAAGCCTCTCCCATGATCCACCACTCAACCCAGTCTTGTGATTTTTGTTGCCACGTTATACCTGCAAACTTTTTAATCTCATCTGCCAACCAAACATTCTGTCTACCCCTAATGTGCTTGCTTTCTCTGGAAATCCAGTCAGTTATTCTTAATAAACAGCAGTTATCCTGCCTATGTGCTACGTGCCCGGCCCATGTCCATTTCTTCTCGATTTCAAGTATGATATCCTAAAACCCTGGTTCGTTCACTAATCCACTCTACTCTATTCTTGTCTCTAAAGATTACACCTATTATCTTCCTTTTCATCGCTCGCTGTGTCATCCTCAATTTAAGCTGAACACTGTTTGTAAGCATCTAGGTTTCTGCTCTGTAGGTAAGCACTGGCAAGACGCAGCTGTTATATACCTTCTTCTTGAAGGTTTATGGCACGTTAAGATTCACGATTTGAGAATGCTTGCCGAATGTGATCCATCCCTTTCTTATTCTTCTAGCTATTTCACTCTCATAATTTGGCTCTGTAGTTACTACCAGTCTCAAGTAGCATAAGCGAAAACTTCTAAATAAACCAAATTTGAGCAATCAGGCCATTTGACTTTATATTCAAATCAGTACAACCGAGAATCTGAGATTTGTCTGAATTAAAAACTTGAATAATCGGAATTTACTGTACATTCACACACCCAAAAGTCTATAACTGATATAAACTGTATTCAAGAGTCCTTCCTTATGTTCCAGTAAAACTGTCATTGAACATCTAATATTGGCCAAAAACATAGTAATGATAGAGGCCAGATGATCACAGTGTAAATCCGGTAATTCGTCAGTTCAGGAAAAAAAGAGACACTTGTAGAGCTTGTTGCTTAAAACCCCTTTGCCTGGAGCAAAGAACTTACAGCTACATATCATCTAAAGCATTGCTTATTTGACAAATCATGAAGAAAAGATGCGAGGTGCTTGCTGAGGTCTCTCATCCTCCTGTCAGCAGTGTGCATTGTGTCGGGATGTGTCTTCACTCAGGGGTAATAGGCCACTGCACGAGAAATACAACGGAAACCACATCTGAGTACAACCGAAAAGCCCATACACTCAAGTGCATGTAAAGTTTAAAAGCAAATACATTATACTACAGAAATATAGTACAATATCGAGAATTCAAACTTTTGGTTAATGCAAATTAAATTTTCGGTTGGACTGCTATGTTTTAACACGAAAGTGTTTTATGCCGGGGCCCCACCACGGCTCCACTGACATGCTCCCGTCACCGGAAGTGACGGCTAAATATATACTAAGAGATTGCAATGAAAAAAAACAAAACAAAAACAAAACAAAACAAGAAAGCAAACATTTATTTATTTATTTATCTTACCCTCAGGGTACACAGTACATTTCAGAGGGGAAGGGCATGCACAACAATGAAAAAAACAAGGAATACAAAGCTAATGGCATAAAAATGTTGTCACTTATTGGGGTACAAAGATTATTACTCCTAACAACTCACATCATAATAAAGCAAATGATAACACTAATTTTATTTTTATTACATGGTGAAGGCACAAAGCAATACAAATAAACTGTTCAACAAACATATATACAGGGGGTAATTAGGTAATCATTGTTTTAAGGACATTCTTAAATTAAATGGGTTCATTGATGCTTGTTATTGATGCAGGCAGGGAATTCCATTCATTACAAGTTCTTGGGAGGTATGATTGGGCATATTTTACTGTGTTGCAATGGAGGACTGTGACTTTTTGTTGGTGATTACGGCGAAGAGAAATGAACGGAGCAGCTTGGATTAAACGGGAAAGGAGTTTCGGATTATGATAGAATATTTTATGAAACAGGCAAATGCGAGTGCGCTTTTGGCGGGTAACTAGTGGGATGAGGTTTATAGATGCCTTCACTTGAGTTACACTAGCTGAACGATGGTAGTTAGCCAAATTGAAACGAGCTGCACGATTTTGAATGGATTCCAACATGTGTGATAATGTTACCTGACCGGAGTCCCAAACAGATGAAGCGTATTCCATTTGAGGACGGACGTACGTGGTATATAGTAATAACTTTAGTGACGATGAAGCAAGAAAGAAGTTTCTTCGAAGGTAATTCAGTGTTTTATTAGCTTTGGACGCTATATGTTCTGTATACAATTTCCAGGACAAAGTGTTAGTTATGTGGACGCCGAGGTACCGGTAAGATGTTACAGTTTCAAGGGGGTGACTGTGAAGAAAGTAAGTTTGACAAGTTGTACTCGACCGAGAAATCCTCATAGACTTGCATTTTTGAATGTTTAGTTCCATTTTCCAAATATGACACCAATGAAGTATGTTATTGAGATCAGCCTGCAGAGAATGAATATCATTGTCATTAGATATTTTATGATAAATCACACAGTCGTCAGCGAACAAACAAATTTTGGAAGTAATAGTAGAAGGTAAGTCATTTACACGGAATCAAACCAGCAACCTCTTGATTCTCAGCGCGCGGTGCTAGCCACTATGCCACGGAACGAACCGTGTCCTAGAATACTAAAGGCAAGGCATTTATATACACCATACACTGTTTGGTTGTCTCTAGAGCTTTGAAACTTTAGCAAGTTTTTGTTATCAGTGGCGAGATAGCGCAACGAGCTCGGGTTTGGGCGCGCTCTAAAAGTCGTTTCTTCCTCAAAACGCTGCCTCCACAATGTGTGGTCTCTCCAGCACGCGCGCTTATCAGACTCCTAATTAGAGAGAGGACCAAGGTCACATTGCATGCTGCGTGGCCGAGTTTACAAAAAGAGTGTTCTGATGACACACGACACAGGAAGAATTGTGACAGTTGTTTGCGCTTGTCCTAAGTATACTTATACGCTCGTTTTGAGTGTATTTCTGTTTTAACAGCGTGCTTAATGTATCGTGCTGTGACAGTTGTTAGTCTGCACTCGTTCTGTGTATGCTAACTTTTTAAGTGCTTTCTGCTTGAGGTGTGCGCTGCAAGTATTGAGCTGATTGCCGTTTTTAACATGGCCTCATAATTTGTTGCTGTTCCTGAAACAATGCACAATAAACACTCAACTATTTCTGTAAAGCTACGTTTCACTTTCGTATTATACTGTTTCCTATATAGGGGGATCAGCCATGTTTTTTTTTATCTATATGTTACAGCCACTCAATTCAATTCGCACTCCTCACCCCCTGCACAAATTCGATTAACACCAGTTTTTTGCTTGACTATGCCGATATATTTGCCGCTTTTGTTGCTTCCAGCTGAACTGCAAAAGTGCACCCAACTAGGCTGGTTAAACATGCAGCCCTGTACATGGGACGGTGAGAGAACGACTGATGAAGGCGCTGAACTCGGTGCCTTTGTCTGCTATTCCATGTCCAGCGCTGTTTGTTCACGTCTTATTCTAGCTGAACATTCAGCTGTTTGGCCACACTGTTGAACTTGCTCTGGCCTAAAGCGACAACACGCTGGTGGTTTCGTCGAGAGCAGCAGGTGAAGCGGTCGGTACAAGCCACCAGAGTAGCCTGGTAACACTGCCCTCCCCCTCCATTGGCCTCGTCTGGGTGAGCGGGCGATATTACTGGGGAAATCTCCTCGCGAGTTGACATCACTAGGCTCCATTTTTATCCCTTGAGAATTTGTCCCCCATGTGAATCGGGGGAAGAAAAAATTGCAGATCACACGATGATGACATCATGCATTAGCACACACTCAGTCACCTGTAATGTCCCACTTCTCCCCTGAGGATTTCTCGCGCGTGTGAATACCTATGTAGCTTCGTAATTACACTCCACAGAGCCCACAGGCATTTGCAGTCACACAGGCGTTTGGAAAATCATTGGACCGGTGGTGTACTGACTCAACAGTAAAGCACGTGCTACATCAATAGAGCAACCCACACCTCCGTTGAAGCTTCGATGGCTAGTGAGCAACGAAAACGGAAACAGCGAAGACATGCGAACATTGACAAGTGATGACAACGTGGCCACAGTTTCACTGCTTAACAACTTCTTAAAAACTAAATATATACTCACAGTAATATATATCAACAATTAATTGAAATGTTTAGACCAAAATTACAGGCACCTGTGCTTTTCAGAATCAGAATTTATTAATAAAAGTTGAGTGAAGTTATAAACGCGTTGTATACAGGAGGAGGTCCCATAGTCAAGAGACTGCATCGGGACCTCCTGTACAAAATAAACTCAGATAAAAAGCACATCATAGTAGCAACAGTAGCGAGATCAGTTATTTAAGAAACATTGAAAAATAATACATGTGATTACATAAAATAATTCGCTTTTAACATATCACAGCAAAAGAAAAATGACAAGAGAAGAGGAAAAAACAAACAAACAAGTAATACAACAGTGATCTATACACAAAATACACTGAACACCAAAGCATGTGTATCCTAAATGAAAGACAAAGTTACTCTTTCGTTATTCGAAATAAAGTAAGTGCATTTTTAGTTCCTTCTTAAAACGATGTAATGGTCTTGAGGTTTTTATAAGGGGAAGAATGTTCCAAAGTGAAATAAAAGTGAATGCTACAGTTTGCTTCCCGTAGTTAGTCCGAATTTTGGGTAAAAGAAAATTGTTGTTCATCGCGAACCGAGTAGTGCTATAGATCATGAGATTATATGATGGAAAAATGGCTGGCAAAAGTTTGTTATTCATAAGCTTGTAAAAAAATACCTAGGTTGTATTTAGTGAGTTCAGTTATGGTGAGAATGTTATTTTCGCGTAGTAGTGATTTGGCATTGGAAAGGCGTGGGCTGCAAGTAATTATTCTTATAGTATGGTTCTGGACAATCTGGAGGGACGCAATATGAGTATTGTATGCATTTCCCCAGCATGTTATACCATAAGTGAAATGAGAAGGAACGAAGGAGTAATAGAGAGACAGCAATGTGGTGCGTGAACTTGGGCTATGAGAGAGGCAGTGGGGACCAAAACTGATATGTGGTATTGATGGTACGTTACGCTGATGAGAATTGAATACAACAAATTTGGTTTTAGTAGCATTAATAGATAACATGTTGGTATTACACCACTTGAAAATATTATCTAAATCAGCCTCCAATATATTAACGAGAGATGAGATACCTTTATGAGAGGCGAATATAGTCGTATCGTGGGCGTACAGAATGCACTGGGATGAGGAAAGACAATTAGGTAAATCATTAATATAAATCAAAAACAAAATTGGCCCCAGAATAGAGCCTTGGGGCACACCGATGTCAGTAGTTCGCTGTCGAAAATGAATGCCTGATATAGAAACAACTTGAACTCTGTTATACATATAAGTAGCTTTTTATTAGACGCCAATTGACTCGAGTTTAGTGAACAGAATATTATGATTTATACTGTCAAATGCGTTTGTTAGATCGATGAATACTGAGGCAACTAGAAATCCTTCGTCGATTAACATTTTTAGCTGATCAGTAATATGAATAAGCGCTATGTCAGTTGAATGTTTATGGCGGAACCCAAACTGACAAGAAGAGAGGATGTTAAACTTAGAGAGGTATTTTGTTAACCGTGTTTCAATTAGCTTCTCAATTACTTTTCCAAAGAACGGCAATATACAAATGGGTCTATAGTTATGTAATAAAGATCTGTTGCCTTTTTTTAGTACAGGTATCACTTTGCCACGCTAAGTTCACGAGGAAATATACCATTTTTAAATAATAAATTAACAATAAATGAAAATATATCAGCTATTAGGTGCACAATAGATTTAATGTTAGCGGGATGGATCTCATCTATTCCAGCATTTGTCAATTTAGATTACATTTTACAGCAATGGCTTCGTCCAGTGTAGTAGGAAATAGGAAGAATGAGTGGGGTAAACGAGTCATGTTGATAATTTCTGAAGGAGAATTTGAATTATCCGGGAAGAAGAAACTACTGAAATCCTCAGCTATATCGGAAGGACAATCATGATCTATTCTGTCAATTAAAATTTGACGTACCTCGTCTTGCCGCGTGTTTCTATTTAAAAAAGAATCGACAATCTCCCATTTCTTTTTAGCGTTGTTAGCTGCCTGTAAGATTCTTTTTTCAAAATAAAACTTTTTTGCAGCTTTAAGTTCGCAGTTAAGAATATTACCGTATGTACTTGCATAGTTCTCGCTCTTTTTTTTTTTTTTGCCAGAACACCGAAGCAAAGTTGGGGGGTGCGAGAATTACGCGGGGAAAACTTTCTACGAAAACGCAGAGAGTGAAAAAGAAAACGAAGTGGCCGCAAATCGGAATTCTCACACCAGCAACTAACAGCAAGCTTTAAGAAGTACTAATTAGAACTTACCTCAACAATAAAAGCAGAGGTTCAATACAAGGCAAGATTTACTTGAGACACAAAAAGTGGAAGCAAATAGTCGAAAATTAGAATACCATACGCGAAGCTTGTGGGCATTGCGGGTGTAGCGGTAGCGGTCGACGCTCAACAGGAGCCCTCAAAAAGTAAGCGTAGGATGTCAGTATTGGGCTGATGGCTATTTAACAGAATCATCCGCAGTTCCCTTCTGAAGAAATGAAGTTTACCATCAATCCCAGTTTTAGGCACACAGCAGGCCCAACGCGTCTTGGTGTCGTTAAGCAGCCGTCACCAGTAGCGAACACAAAATTGAAGGCTCCGAAGGGCCTACCGGCGGCCCTGTTGCCATTCTTTAGTGCATTATCTATCACTTGCAACCTGAAGCAGCCGTGTGGCTTCAGTATCGCCCCATAACGTGCCAAGATTACCAACACAACACGCAAAACATGCCGCAACGCGCACTGGCCACTTCGGCTTGGCTTAAATTGGATTGAATCTCCGTGCAATAGTACGCTTGATGCTTAAGAAATGGCGCCAGATGGTGCGCCCTATCATCATCAATGGCTGGAACGAGCAGATGACATTATTGCGGCAGTTTTCGGGGGTGCGATAATTTCTCGAGGAAAAAAAATTGTATTTTTTTCTTGGGCGATGTGGGGGGTGCGAGAATTATGCGAGTGCGAGGCTTACGCGAGTAAATACGGTACATAAGTTCCTATAACGAGAACGTAATTTCTTGTTAAATGGTTGTTTTTTAGTTTTCCTATATAAATTATCTCTTTTGCGCATTTCTGCCAATAGCTGTTGCAAGATCCACGGATTGTGAGCAAAAGCAACAATTTTTTTTACATTTCTTTTTGGAAGTGAACTTCCTTAAATGCAATGTAATTAGTGAAATAAATGTTGAAAACACTTTCTGTGAATCGTTCATTGACTTAATTTCAGACCAGTTGGTGTTAGCAATGGCCGTTATGAAGCCATCTTTATCTAAAATATATCTGGTGCGAGAAGAAGTACAAAAGAGTACATTAGTTTTGAAGCATAAGGCGAGCTTTAAGCATCACTAATGTCTACGTGCAAATTAACTTTTGCCTCTGGTTGATCAAGCAGGTTAGAGAGAGTGTGATCAATAAGTTTTCCTGAGCCGTTAAAATCTTCATGTGTCGGAACGTCAATTAAACAGTCGTATCCATGACCGTGAAACAAACTGGTATAGTTAATACAGGCAGGTGATGCTTCATCAAGTAAGCTGATGTTGATGTCAGCCATTATGATGACATTTTTGTTTTCTAGTGAAATAGTATGCAAAAAAATGGTCAAGACAGGTACAGAAATCCTTAACTGATGATGAAGGAGAGCGGTAGATGCAGCCAAATATGAGGTTCTTCTTATCTCTAGTTAAAAAGCAGTTATCAGTCTCAATCCAAACGGATTCACAATTGGCAACAGTTAGTGCTAGGTCATGTCTTCATCGATAAGCAATACCAGAAGAAACATATATAGCTGCACCACCATGATTGTTCGCTACTCTATTGCAGTACTCAGATTTATAATTATGAAAGCAATACGAATTTTTGTCATTGTTAGATAACCAAGCTTTAGTTATGGTGATCAACGAAAACGAGCAAGATAGCTAAGTGAAAAAATCGTCAATAATGCCAAAGTGTCCAAGAAGACTTCTCGTGTTAAAGTGAATTATGGAATGAAATTCATTCAAGAAAGAATGCACTTAATCTAGTTTTAATGTGGAAGCCATATTTGTTGCACCAAATAATTAAACAATAAGCTCTATTCTATTCTGTTTAGGTCGGATTCATCTCGAATCTGCAGAGCTTTACTGTTAATTATTTTTCTAGCTTTGATTTGGCAGTTGTCCGTCCACAGGAACATCCAGTTTTTCTCTTTTTTCAGAGTTAGAGCTTTGGAGAAGAGAGCCTTGTTACATGCGTTCAGGTGCTCACTTACAAACACGGGATAATTGTGAGGGCCAGGGAATCCGATGTCACTAAGACAGAGCTTGGCTTTACGCGCTTTGCTAACAAATTCAGCCTTCTTGGCTCTAGAACAAAATTGTGCGATGATGTTTTTCTTGTTATTTGATCGAGTAGGCAAGCGATGAACAATATCCAGACTATTCGACGATATGGGACAACCAATTTCATCCCCCACAGATTTGATGATTTCAACACAATCTTTTTCTTAGGAACAGAAAACTCCCTTGATTTCGACGTTGCTAAGGCGAGAGTACTGTTCAAGCTCCTCGACCCTGCGGGTCAATGATTGGTTCTGGTACCTCAGTTGCTTGTTTTCATCTGTTGATGTAGTGTTCCGGCTACACAGCTCCTCAACAAGTGCATTCAAGTGCTCAGCACTGGTATTCAGCGAACAAACTTCTCTCTTAAGTTCAACAACATCGATTCCAGATTCTTCCATCCTCAGTAGGATCTTACCAAACATGAGCTCATGCGTGCCTTCAGTTGTTCAGTTTATCTTACAACTCATCCACTCTTTCAGACAGTTCTGCATTCGTCGGCATGATACAGGTATGAAAAAAAAAAGAAAACTCAGGGAAAAAGAGAAAAACAAAAGAACACTTGGTGGCAGCAGCAGCAGCAGCAGTGAAAAATAAATAACAAGAAAAAAAGCCTACGTAGGAATACCTGCGTAAAAGAGAGGATAGGCTTAGATGGCAATCGGAGGATGCCGCTGCTGCCAGTGAAGAGTGGGCATCGACTGCCGGCTTGTTTATAGGGCTAGCAGCGATAGCAGCGATCTCCAGCGGTGAATTTGTCGATGCCAGCAACACAGCTCGAAGCGGCTGCACAGTCGCAGATTCACCCCATGTGGGTGATTCAGCGCCGTCCAAGAGAGTGAATCGGCAGTACAGCACCACGAAGACGATCACCGAAGAAACAGCTACCGACAAGGACGGCTGCGTAAAACAGAGGATAGGCTTAGATGGCGATCGGAGGATGCCGCTGCTGCCAATAAATGTATCTATATATATTTATACCATTGCACTTACGATAACACAAAAACAAAAATAATGATTTGATTGACATGTAAGGTTTAACGTCCCGAAACCACCATATGATTATGAGAGACGCTGTAGTAAAGGGCTCCAGAAATTTTGACCACCTGGGGTTCTTTAATGTGCACCCAAATCTGAGCACACGGGCAAACAGCTTTTTCAAAACAATGATTTGCAGCACCAAAAATTTCATCGAGAAACACCTGAGCCACTGAATGGCTATTGAAGACTGCCTTGTAGCAGTGTGACCACTTATTAAGTCAATGGAGCTGCGGCGTTCAACGGCCATCGATTCGGTGGCCTTTTAAAAGCGCCCGTATGACACAGGCATTACAAGAAAATTTCCGCTTGGGCTAGTTGGTTGAGATGCATGGTATAGCTGTTGTTTAAAAGGACAAAGAAAGACTACGAAGGAACGCTTGTTCTGTGTTCTTTTGTAGTCCTTTGTGTGCTTAAACAACAGCTATACCATATGCAGGTATTACACTGCTAAGGCTGCATCCACTTACTTTGCAGAGCATCGCGTTTCTGAGGGGACAGCCCAGGCTTGGTTTTTCCTCTCTGGTACACGAACCTCGGGCACACGGTTCCTGTGACCCTTCGATTCAACAGCTCTTCCCGTTTCCAGAGGCACCTCATCAATGCTCTCGAAAAGGTCCCATCTGCACGAAACTCCTTCAGCAAGGACCACTCTCCAGCGGGAATAAAATAGCCATTGCCGATGTGGATCTGTAAAAAAAAAACCAGATACCACTACTCTTACTCCCTGAAATCCAAAAACAATGCATGTACTTAAAAGAAGACACAACTATTCGGTAGGCTTGAGCAAACATTCGAATGCTTTGAATAGTCCAACGAATAGTACTGTATTCGAATTTGCGTCAACCATAATTTGAATTCTTAAAATTTCGAAGCATTCGAAATGAACGAATAGATTAGACTTGCACGAATAGTAATATTAGGTTTGAAGCAAATAGTGATTTTGGTTGAATAATTTTGAATCGAATTCGAATGATAAGTATGACATGTAAAAAAATTGAAATATTTATTATGACCTAACTAACCTGCACAATATTTTTTAAAATTGAAATAGGGGCTCTATGCAAATGACACCTTTTTTTCCTTTAAAGGAAGTCAAAACAGCTTTGAGTAGAAGCAAGATTTGGGTTTTGGTAAGATGCGAGTGATAACGTGTAAAATATGTAACATTTTAAAATTTATTATACATGGAGCCTATAAGCCATCATAACAAGCTTCCAAGCTTAGTAATATGATGAATTGATTTGCGGGTAATATGTTCATTTAAAGGGGCCTTGCAACTTTTTTTTTTTTTTTTTCAAGCAGCCATGAAATAGATTCAGTAAAGAAGATTATTGCCTCAAGAATACACCACAACAAAATTTTTAGAATCCGTCTGGAACAAGCGGAGTTTCAAAGATTTGCCACACTCTGAAATTGCATTCTTTCTTCTCGTGCCGACAAAAGGCTGCAAGCTAAGCAGAGATGGATGGCACGGGAAAAGAAAATATGTCACGTGCGCCTCCTGACTTTGAGCACTTTTTCTTTTTTTTTTTCTTCGATTAGCCCACCTTTCAGTGCGATCGTGCACGTACGTGTGGAAGAGTGATGGGCTTGCGCGGTGTCCCCAGTAACAACTGGGCGCGCCATGCTCAAATCAGTCAATGGTTGTGACAAGTGATTTCTAAGCTTGCAGTGTCATTTGCCATGAAGAGAGTAATTTTTTGCTTATTTGGACAATTTATTGTGAATAATAGGCTGCGTGCTTCGCTATAATGTTTGGCTCGCATGCTTTTGGTTGCCTAGATTACCGATTGGAAGCCTTTTCTGACCATGCTCAATAAGTTTTGCAGGGCTCCCTTAAATGTGAAAGGGGGATTTGCGGCAAAGTGGATTTCATTACATAAACGCGTTCATGGCTTAGCATCCCTCCACCGCAGTAAAACCATATTTACAGGCAGTCACATGCGGATTAATATAGTACTCTTACTTCAAACTTCAAAATTTCAAAATTTAAATTCTTATCGAAGTGAATTCAAACATTTTAATATGCATTGAAATATTCGAAGAATTCAAATATTCGCACAGGCCTAGAATAGATCTATAACAGTCCGCATGTAACCACCTGTAAAAGTGGTTTCACTATGGTGGAGCAATGCTAAGGCATGAGAACGCCTTTCAAACAAATATCCACACTGGCACGAATCCCCACTTCAAGGTTAAATGAACCTATCCTCACATTGTTTCATCATTGCTCAAGCTTAAAATTTTGTTATACCTGCTTATATGCTCCTAGTAAATCTTAAAACCACATAATTTACAGGTTCTCACTTGCATTCTACTGAAAATCAAAACCTGCAACTATTTGAAGTTTTTCCCACTTCCTTTGAACCAAAACGAATCCCACTTGCACAGGCTGTTTCAATTTTTTAAAATACTATGCAGGGTTAGTTGGGCCATGTCAAATATGTCTTTTTTAAAATTGTGTGACATAAACTATTCGAATTCGGTTCAAAACTATTCGACCTAAATCACTATTTGCTTTGGTCTCGCTTCAAACCTAAAATTTACCATTTGCACAAGCCTACTATTTGGGGTCTCGATTGGCTACGTAACGTGGGATACCTAAGCACAGTCACCAGTGTTCCCTTGTGTTCCTGAGGCAAACCTCAGCATGAGGATAAAGTCAGTGAGAGTTTATTTTTCTTAAACACCCCAGGTGGGCTTTTTACATGAAGAGCAGGCTCACTAATGTTAACATACAAATCTGTACATATCTCACAATTAAATCATCATCAGCCTGACTGCGTCCACTGCAAGACAAAGGTATCTCCCTTGGTCTACCAGTTAACCCAATCCTGTGCTTGCTGCTGCCAATTTATACCCGCAAACTTCTTAGTCTCATCTGCCCACCTAACCTTTTGTCTACCCCTAACCCGCTTGCCTTCTTTGGGAATCCTGTCAGTTACCCTTAATGACCAGCGGTTATCCTGTCTACGCGCTACATGCCCGGCCCATGTCCATTTTCTCTTTTTGATTTCAACTATGATATCCTTAACCCCCGTTTCTTCCCTAATCCACTCTGCTCTCTTCTTGTCTCTTAAGGTTGCACCTACCATTTTTCTTTCCATTGCTCGCTGCGTCGTCCTCAATTTAGGCTGAACCCTCTTTGTAAGTTTCCAGGTTTCTGCTCCGTAGCTAAGTACCAGCAAGATACAACTGTCATATACCTTCCTCTTGAGGGATAGTGGCAATCTACCTGTCATAATTTGAGAGTGCTTGCCAAATGTGCTCCACCCCATTCTTATTCTTCTACTTACTTCAATCTCGTGGTTCGGCTCCGCGGTTATTACCTGCCCTAAGTAGACTTAGTCTTTTACAATTTGAAGTGCACTATTACCTATCTCAAAGCGCTGCTCTCTTACGAGGTTGTTGTACATTACTTTCGTTTTCAGCAGATTAATTTTAGGACCAACCTTTCTGCTCTCCTTGTCTAACTCCGTAATCATGAGTTGCAATTCGTCTCCCGAGTTACTCAGCAATGCAATGTCATTTGGCAAAGCGCAGGTTACTATAGTATTCCCCATTGACTCTTATCCCTAACTGCTCCCATTCTAGGCATCTGAAAACCTCCTGTAAGCACACAGTAAACAGCGTTGGGGAGATTGTGTCCCCCTGCCTTACACCCTTCTTGATTAATATTTTGTTGCTTTCTTTATGAAGCACTATGATAGCAATTGATCCCCTGTAGATTTCTTCCAGGATGTTTATATATACTTCATCGACGCCCTGATTCCTCAGTGTCTGCATGACGGCTGATATTTCTACTGAATCAAACGCCATCTCATAATCTATTAAGGCTATGTATAGTGGTTGGTTATATTCTGAGCATTTCTCATTACCTGATTGATAGTATGAATGTGGTTGATTGTTGAGTAGCCTGTTCGAAATCCTGCTTGTTCCTTTGGTTGATTGAAGTCTAATGTTTTCTTTACTCTGTTAGCAATTACCTTTGTAAATAGCTTGTATACTACAGGAAGCAAGCTGATCGGCCTGTAATTCTTCAACTCCTTGTCACCTCCTTTCTTATGTATTAAGATGATGTTAGCATTTTTCCAAGACTCTGGTACTCTTCCCGCCAGGAGACACCTCGTAAACAGGGTGGCTAGTTTTTCTAACACAATCTGTCCTCCACCTTTTAGCAGATCTGATGTTACCTGATCCTCACCAGCAGCTTTGCCTCTTTGCATGCTCCCCAAAGCTTCTTCTATCATTACTGGTGGGGTGTCATCTGGGTTACTGCTAGTTCTTATAGTAAGGTTGTGGTTGTCTCGGCTACTGTACAAATCTCTGTTAAACTCCTACACTACTTTAGCTATCCTATCCATATTGGTAGTTACTTTACCTTCTTCTATTTGACGCTTCTTAATGAGATTCTTCGTTTCCTGGTAAAGCTTGCCAGTGTCCTGTCTAACTACCTTGCCTCCAACTTCCATTGCACACTCCGTAATGATACCTGTCAGATTATCATTCATTGTATTTACGCCAAGGTTGGTTTCTTCACTAAGAGACAAGTACCTGTCCTGAAGCGAGACGCTGAATTCCTGTACTTTTCCTCTCAGTGCTAGCTCATTGATTGGCTTCTTGCGTATCAGTTTCTGTCGTTCCTTCTTCAAGTCTAGGCGAATTCGAAGACCGTACCATTCTATGGTCACTGCATCGTACCTTGCCAACCACTTCCACATCCTGCACGATGCCTGGGTGTGCACTCATTATAAAGCCTATTTCATTCTTATTTTCGCTATTAGGACTCCTCCATGTGCACTTGTGTTTTCCTCGTTTTCGGTAGAAGGTATTCAAAATCCGTAAATTATTGCGTTCTGCGAATCCTACTAGTAGCTCTCCTCTGGTGTTTCTAGTAACGATGCCATAATTTCCTACTGCCTGGTCTCCAGCCTGCTTCTTCCCTACCTTTGCATTAAAGTCTTTCATCAGTATAGTATACTGTGTTTTTACCTTACTCATTGCAGATTCCACATCTTCATAGAAGCTTTCAACTCAAGCGTCATCATGGCTGGATGTAGGCGCGTAAGCCTGTACCACCTTCATCTTGTATCTCTTATTCAGTTTAATTACGATACCTACCACCCTTTCATTAATGCTATAGTATTCCTCTATGTTGCCAGCTATGTTTCTGTGAATTAGGAACCCCACTCCCAGTTCTCTTCTGTCAGCCAAGCCCCTATAGCAAAGGACGTGCCCATTCTATAGCACCGTATATGCCTCATCTGTCCTCCTAACCTCACTGAGCCCTATTATACCCCATTTAACGCCCTCTAGCTCCTCGAATAGTACAGCTAGACTTCCCTCACTAGATAAGGTTCTAGCGTTAAACGTTGCCAAGTTCAGGTTCCAATGGCGGCCTGTCCGGATCCAGAGATTCTTAGCACCCTCTGCTGCGTTGCAGATCTGACCCCCGCCGTGGTCAGTTGCTTCGCAGCTGCTGGGGACTGAGGGCCGTGAGTTAATTGACGTATGCATGTGGGAGGTAGTGGCCAGATACTGCACCAGGGTGGCCAATCCTTCTCTGGTGAGGGAGTGCGCTGCCGGCGGTGTTTGCCGGTGAGGCCGCACCCCAGGCCTCTTAATGCAGTTCCATCAACACGCGGATTTTTTTTTTAATCCGGTTGGCAACTGAGCGGCACCATGAT